TTCTTGACTCTCCCCATGGGCGCCGCCATCTTGGATTCTGCTCGGTTAGTGCACAAAGGTCACATTTCAGCCCCAAGTCAATTGTGCCCTTTGTACACTGTGATCATCGACAAAAATATGTGAATTTGATTATTCCTCTGGAATTGTGCTATTAGTGCATGGTTACAACGGATAGATGGCAGCACAAGCTTCAAGCTGATGGGTGCAACTCAGAAGTGCTCTAGGCTCTTCATTAGCCAAGTCATAGAAGAACAGTAGGACGTTAAACCCCATTTCATTTCCTATACATATATCTTTTTCACCATATGATTCCCGCCAATCATGTTCATGCTGTATGAATAATGTTGTACTAGACATGTATCTTTATCACCATGATTCCCGCCATGTTTTATGGCACCATGCTGTATCAATAATGTTATAATACAAAACATGTATCTTTATCACCATGATTCACACCATATGTCTTATGACACCATGCTTTATCGGTAATGTTATAATTCTAAACGGTTATCTTTATCACAATGATTCTCTCCATATGTTTTATGGCACATGTTAAAGGTGACATACTTAACCCGTCAATCATATTAACATCAGCACCAAGCTGTATCAGTAATGTTATAATACTACACATGTATCTTTATCACCATGATTCCCACCATGTTTTATCTGGCACCATGGTGTATGAATGTTATAATACTAAACATGTATCTTTATCACCATGATTCCCGCCATATGTTTTAAGGCACATGTTAAAGGTGACATACTTAACATGTCAATCATGTTAACATGTTTTATGGCACATGTTAAAGGTGACATACTTAACCTGTCAATCATATTAACATCAGCACCTGGCTGTATCAGTAATGTTATAATACTACACATGTATCTTTATCACCATGATTCCCACCATGTTTTATCTGGCACCATGGTGTATGAATGTTATAATACTAAACATGTATCTTTATCCCCATGATTCCTGCCATGTTTTATGGCACCATGGTGTATCAATAATGTTATAATATTAAACATGTTTTATATCAGTAATGTTATAATACTACACATGTATCTTTATCACCATGATTCCTGCCATGTTTTATGGCACCATGCTGTATCAATAATGTTATAATACTAAACATGTATCTTTATCACCATGATTCTCGCAATATGTTTTATGGCACATGTTAAAGGTGACATACTTAACCCGTCAATCATATTAACATCAGCACCTGGCTGTATCAGTAATGTTATAATACTACACATGTATCTTTATCACCATGATTCCCACCATGTTTTATCTGGCACCATGGTGTATGAATGTTATAATACTAAACATGTATCTTTATCACCATGATTCCCGTCATATGTTTTATGGCACATGTTAAAGGTGACATACTTAACATGTCAATCATGTTAACATGTTTTATGGCACATGTTAAAGGTGACATACTTAACCTGTCAATCATATTAACATCAGCACCTGGCTGTATCAGTAATGTTATAATACTACACATGTATCTTTATCACCATGATTCCCACCATGTTTTATCTGGCACCATGGTGTATGAATGTTATAATACTAAACATGTATCTTTATCCCCATGATTCCTGCCATGTTTTATGGCACCATGGTGTATCAATAATGTTATAATATTAAACATGTTTTATATCAGTAATGTTATAATACTACACATGTATCTTTATCACCATGATTCCTGCCATGTTTTATGGCACCATGCTGTATCAATAATGTTATAATACTAAACATGTATCTTTATCACCATGATTCTCGCAATATGTTTTATGGCACATGTTAAAGGTGACATACTTAACCCGTCAATCATGTTAACATCAGCACCTGGCTGTATCAGTAATGTTATAATACTACACATGTATCTTTATCACCATGATTCCCACCATGTTTTATCTGGCACCATGGTGTATGAATGTTATAATACTAAACATGTATCTTTATCCCCATGATTCCTGCCATGTTTTATGGCACCATGGTGTATCAATAATGTTATAATATTAAACATGTTTTATATCTGTAATGTTATAATACTACACATGTATCTTTATCACCATGATTCCCGCCATATGTTTTATGGCACCATGCTGTATCAATAATGTTATAATACTAAACATGTATCTTTATCACCATGATTCTCGCAATATGTTTTATGGCACATGTTAAAGGTGACATACTTAACCCGTCAATCATATTAACATCAGCACCTGGCTGTATCAGTAATGTTATAATACTACACATGTATCTTTATCACCATGATTCCCACCATGTTTTATCTGGCACCATGGTGTATGAATGTTATAATACTAAACATGTATCTTTATCACCATGATTCCCGCCATATGTTTTATGGCACATGTTAAAGGTGATATACTTAACATGTCAATCATGTTAACATGTTTTATGGCACATGTTAAAGGTGACATACTTAACCTGTCAATCATATTAACATCAGCACCTGGCTGTATCAGTAATGTTATAATACTACACATGTATCTTTATCACCATGATTCCCACCATGTTTTATCTGGCACCATGGTGTATGAATGTTATAATACTAAACATGTATCTTTATCCCCATGATTCCTGCCATGTTTTATGGCACCATGCTCTATCAATAATGTTATAATACTAAACATGTATCTTTATCACCATGATTCTCGCAATATGTTTTATGGCACATGTTAAAGGTGACATACTTAACCCGTCAATCATGTTAACATCAGCACCAGACTGTGTTATAATACTAAACATGTATCTTTATCACTATGATTCCCGCCATGTTTTATGGCACCATGCTGGATCAACAATGTTATAATATTAAACATGTATCTTTATCAGCATGATTTATGGCACCATGCTGTAGCAATAATGTTATAATATTAAAACATTTATCTTTACCATGATTTCCACCATGTTTTATATCAGTAATGATATAATACTACACATGTATCTTTATCACCATGATTCCTGCCATGTTTTATGGCACAATGCTGTATGAATAATGTTATAATATTAAACATGTACATGTATCTTTACCATGATTCCCACCATGTTTTATATCAGTAATGATATAATATACTACACATGTATCTTTATCACCATGATTCCTGCCATGTTTTATGGCACCATGGTGTATCAATAATGTTATAATATTAAACATGTATCTTTACCATGATTCCCACCGTGTTTTACATCAGTAATGTTATAATACTACACATGTATCTTTATCCGTAATGTTATAATACTACACATGTATCTTTATCACCATGATTCCTGCCATGTTTTATGGCACCATGCTGTATGAATGTTATAATACTAAACATATATATTTAATATCCATATGTTTCATGTCACATGTTAAAGGTAACATACTAAACACGTCAATCATGTTAACGTCAGTGCTGTGCTGTATTAATACTGTTCTAATACCTAAACATGTTGCTTTATCCTATCTTTGTAAATACTGAGTTATATTCCTTTTATAGATTAAACTTTAACAACATTGTAGTTTGCAAGCGAATAACAATCCCTTAAATAAAGATCAGATAGTTTCAATGAAAATATAAGTAAGTTGGTGATGAAATTGTCATTGGTATCTCGTAATACCAAACATGCAATATATTTCCCTTGTTTTGTATTGTTGGGTGAAGAAGAAAAGTACCTGGGCCCTTATTCACAAAAACTTAAACTAAGATACAATCGTAATTTTAAGAAATACTGCAGTTCGATTGGCTGACCAGTAAAATCAATTTGCATATATCCAATGAAGTTGCAGTATTTCTTAAATTTTGGTTGTAACTTAGTTTAAGTTTTCGTGTATAAGGGCCCATAGATTTCTATTTATAAATGAATGAATAACAAAAAATAAACTGTGTGAATTATCCATTTGTAAAAATTGTTGATTATTTTGTCACTTTCTTCTAAATGATTCTTCATTGTGATAAAATTTTATGTCAAAATGCTGTATTGTTTTCTTTTCTGATTATTTTGATATTCTACAGAATGCAAGAATGAATAGTGAATGCTAGTGGGTGTCATGTACTTGTGTCGAATGGTTAATGCATGCATTTGGATCAGAAGTTTTGTCATTGAGTCAAATGGAGTGGTTTCGATTCCCTGCTTGTACATGACAAGGAGTAGTGTTGCTTGTCCAACCTCTTGGGTCATCTGGTTTCCTCCCACTGCTAAAGAACCCTACACACAAGCGAATTATGTTAGTCCCGAAATGACCCTGTTTGCGTTGAATGGATGTTAAACTCCATTTCTCTCTTATTCCTTCAGTAGTAACCAGGTTTTTATGTCTAGTGTGTGAGGTTTGGCTCACAACCAGGAGGTATATTAGTGGGGTCACAATGTCTCAGTGAGTAGGGTGCTGGCTTGCTGATCAGGAGGTAAATGAGTGGGATGCCAAGGTGGCTCAGTGCATCATTGGGTGCTGGCTCACAAACTGGGAGGTATGAGTGGGGAACCACAGTGTTTCGGTGAGTAGGGAGCTGGCTCATACAACAGGTGGTATATGAGTGGGTTCACCGGTGTTGGCTGATCAAGTTCCTGGATATGACAGAATGGGACTGTTGAAAATCACAACTGTATCGTGCAGACATTGGGTATTTATTATGACTTGTACAATCATTCGTTTGCGCGTAGGGGTCTTTAGCCGTGGGAGGACCCGGAGAAAACCCACGAGGTTGGACAGGCGACCCTACACCTTGTCACACTGGGGAATCGACAAAGCCTTAAGAAAACCAGCTCATTATCTTGGCAACATTGCAGAATCGCACACAAAATGATATAGGGTTTAACATCCCACTTTTCTGCACCATACAGTGTGCTATGCACTACGATCTACTCTTTTTTCGAATTCCACCTGTCACAAGCACCTACCTCCTGTCAAATCAGGGATGCATTTTCAGTGCATCTCAGATTTTAATAGCAATGTATTCTGTTTATCCATCATATCTTTCAAAAATAATTAGAATTTCTTTATTTCCTTTTTTTCTATTTATATATAAATATTTTGTGAGTTTGTGGATACATATATACACTATATAACACAGTTAATACCAACATGCAATGCAAGGCCACACCATTTTCTTTTTTTCGATAGTAAATCAGAACTTTTTTCCTCATTTAAGGTGGAAAAAACTGATATTATAATGGACTCTTAAAACCATATCAAATAGGATATTAATACCGACTTCAAATGAAACAAAGCTTGCCGATAATCCCAAAAAGCAATTTTTGAAAAATTGATCAGGAAATTCTTATATTTAATTTCAATTTGCAAATTTTAGTGCTGACAGGCCTGGAAATGCAAAATAAAATGGATGTGGCCTAACTGAGACAAAATGGTGAATATCCATTAAATCAGGGTTTGTTAATCATAAAGTTACTCTAGATTTCGGATCTATTAAATAAACATCTCTCATACAAGTGAAATCCTCCATGTTTTGAGAGAAAAAAAAAGAAAGCAAATTTTGATGTGGCATTCACAAGTCATTCTGGGTTTGAGATCAGTTTGAAAAATATCTCTCATACAAGTGGCTGGACAACTTAACTTGAAATCCTACTTAAAACAAAATGAAGCAAATTTTCATGTGTGAAAATAGAGGACAAGTTAGACGATTCACAAGTGGTGTTTATCTGTGAGATAAACAGTGATATTTTTCAGTGGATCGTAGGCAAGATTTAAAGAAGACCTGTTTTAAACCATTTATTAAAGACGCATTATGTAAGAACTAAATCTGCCAATTACAGGTCTTTATTTTGGCTTTAAGTGTTATATAAACAATTATTTAAATATTTGTTCACATGACAAGCCTATAATCAACTCTAGATCTCTTAATCATTGGATAGCAGAGATTTAAATGGATAAGAACGTCCTCAAGACATTAAAATTGAACAATAAAATGGATAATTGAGATGTCCAGTGCTGTTGCTACGATAATAAACAATCTATGCTATGTCTTCCAACACTCATAACTTTGCTCCGAATTAAGTTATTTGACTGAAATTTTCAATATATTAATTTTGAATTACCTATTTTTGAACTATTATAGCAAGGACGACCATCTCTTTATCTAAATCTTACATAATGCATCTTTAATGGTGGTTACCTATCAGAAAAACAATTTTTTTTTCAATGAATGGTAGCAGATTTTCATGCAACATCTGTGTAGAATTTAATACTAAATCTAAAACTAAATAACTAGTATATATTTTACAATATTTAAAACATAAATAATATATATCACAGATAAATATAAAATCTTCTAATCCCTGTCTTATAAAATATGATCTAAATATAGTCTTAGTTCACATATATTCCAGAAAATACAAAATTGGAGACACAATCATATCTTTTTTAAAAGAATCTTTAAAATGTGACAGTAAATTTTAAATGAATACACATAAAACAAAAGCAAAAAGACATTTTGATAAATGCTTCATTGATCATGCCTCTGTTTCACAAAATATTCTCAAACTTAAGTTAAGAATTTACTCGAAAGTCTGAGAATGTTTTGCGAAACCGGGGATAGGTGATCAGCAGACACTGTAAAACTACAATAGCATGCACATAGATTGTTTTTTTTCTTCTAAATTCGAAAGAAGGCGAAAGTTTTAGAAAGGCTTATATCAATAAAAATATTTGGTTTAAAATAAAATATCATGGTAGACTATTTCTAACAAAAATAATCAATATAAAATATTAATAGCACAGCAGACATTCTCTTCCCTTTGTTTACTAGAGTTATGTACCCTTGGTATAGTCAGACAATAATTACTGTATGACTGAATGAGCTGCTTGAGTTACATACCTGTGGTAAGCGTCAAGCTATAACTATCGTATTTCTGTATGAGCTGCTAGAGTTATGTATCCTAGGTTTACTAGAGTTATGTACCTTTGGTAACCATCAGACAATAACTATCTTAATACTGTATAAATGAAATTAAATGAAATGGGGTCTAACGTTCTACTTTTTTGCTTCGACTGAGCTAATGATGATGGACGAGCGACATACAGTGTACTATGAGAGAAATTTCGTCAGGGCAGTGGCAATATGACCTACTCTTACTTCATATCTCAACTGTCATTGGTTCTATTTCGTGCACGGCAATGTGAACACGGGACGTCGTTTTTTTGTCAAAAATGACAAATATAATTGAAACTCCCAATACAATAAACATTGTCTGACCATTATCAAGGGAAGCCTGTGGAAAATCAAGATTATGTCTTTATTTATATTTTAAAATTTCTACAAACAATTATGGTAGCTAGATGACTGATAACACAATTTTGATGATTTTTACATAAAAGAATCAGTTGTATCAAATTTTAACATAATGCTGAGGGGTAGACAATAGTCGATAGAAAACCATAAATAAGGCCCTTAATTAACTCTGGGACTACAAATAAGGCCCCTTTATTCTGGGACAAATAAATGCGAAGAGCACTGATTCCCACACCATCGAGTCAGTGTACAGTAAATTCTCTTCTAAACGACAAACATCACAAAACCTATTTTTTAAAAATTTCTTCCATTGGCTAAACACTGTTATTACAATGTAACCATTCTTTTACTAGAATTTTGACTGATGTTTTGTTTTAAAATAGAATTTACTCTATGACTTCAAGAGACAATTACACATGGAATGGAAGTTATAAGTTTAGATTATTTTCGTCAAGGTACCACTGATCGTATTGGTGACGTAGGTGGCAAGCCGACAGCTGTATCACCAAAAACATTGGCGTATGAGTTTTTGAGGAAATGAACGTAGTTCTGCATGCTGCGATTTGTACTGTGACATTGTTCCAGGCGATCTTTTAAATCGTACAGGCGGGAATTGAACTTTCTTTCGTTCTGTAACAGAAAAAAAAAAAAAAATTTAATGCAATTAATAAAGTATTATAAGGTTTACTCTTTCATGGAGAAGATGTCGTAAGATGCAAGAGCTAAATCTGCATATTGTCGGTCTTTTTCTGGCTTCAAATGTTATATCAGGCACTTATTTTCATGACAAGTCCATAATCAACTAATCCGACTCATGTGAGAATCAGATGTGGCTTGACAATGGTACTTGACAATCTAGACTATCCTGTCAAAACTTCAGTTTGACTGAAAGTTTCAATATACAGTGCACTCTGTCACATCCGACATCGTACGGGATCGTTACAATATGTCGGATTACACAGAGTGTCCGAATACCCAGTTTTCTCAAAACCGGAAATATTGTAACTTCGAAAACCGGAAGTATTATTAAAATGTAGCTTCGAACATAGAACTTCGAATCACCAGATGTTATTCCCTTTAAAAATGATAAACCTTTCTGTACAATCAAAATTTTATTACATAATTTTTATTTCATTTAACATGCGTAGGCATTTTAAATAGGTCAAGTCTGTCGTTAATTTATCTTCTTCGCCATCTTCAGCTGATCGCACTCTTGTCTTTGCTATCACGTGTTCATTGATAATGGGCGTACTCAATTGGACGTTCCGGAATTGAATTCTCTCAATCCCAAAAGTAGCGACAATCGAGTGAACATGGGTACTTCGGGCTACAACGCATGCGTCGACTGGATATATAAATATCTCATCCAACCATGCAGCTGAAACCTGTTCGTCGTGCTTAATTACGTCACAATTCTACTCACACCACCTCCGTCGTCGAGACTGACAGAACTGAATTCTGCGTCACTCGATTGCAATTCTGTCAATTCGGGACGTTCCGGACTGTGACTCGAGCATCCCAGGTCGTCGACACACGGTTCGAAGAGATCCGTAGGGTTACCAAACTTATAGGTTATTCAGGTTCAATCGGCATGCGCAACGAATGTTTCCAACAGGTGCTAGGAATATTTTTACGACTGTGAATTCGGGGGAAAATTTGTGGATATTCTTGAGTATTTCTCACAACTGTCGTACAAGAGATTTAAATTATCAAAGTAATCAACAAAGACCCACGGTAGCGAGTTTTAATCTCACAGATAATTGACTGGTGATTACTAGTTAATCTTTTGTGGCTTCACACCCATCCAGTTTTAATCTCACGGATAATTGATCGGTAAGTATTTGCTTCACACCCACCGATTGAAGGCCGGATTATACGGTGTCGATTCAATGGAAATCGTATGACGGGGCGGCTGATTGATGACGTAATCCGGAACGTACAGAGGTCGAATTACCCAGAGATTTTTTGGCTGAAGTAATAAGGAAATAAATCGGGACATGAAAATGGTGTCGGATGTAACAGAGTGCCGGAGTGATCAGAGGTCGAATGTGACAGAGTGCACTGTATTCCTTTTTCATTATCTATTTTTGAACTATTTGTCAACAACTGCCAAAGGATCTTTTATGTGCACATCAATGTGTACACGTGACCGGTGTACCATCCGGACAACTATACATTGTCCCTTGCCAGGGCCTCAGTCCTGCTCCAGTGACAAGGGAGAACCACGCCAGAAAATTTCCATGAACTTTCTCGATCAATACAGGGATCAAACATGGGACCTCCAGGTTAGCGAGCCAACATGTTACTCAATGAACCACCGTGACTCCTGATATGTTGATTTGTTAATCACTTTAATGTAGTTTGGTGGAAGTTTATTATCATCTTACCTCTTCTTTCTCTCGCTTTATTCTCGCGATTTCTGTTCTCAGTTGACTGATCTGGGTTTCCAAGTCAACAATTCGAGACTGGTATGTTCTTTCCTACAATATGACGGCAAAGAGTTATCTATATATTGAATTTCAAAAATATAATAGAAAAATTATAGCCATCATGACTTTTTATCTATCAATGTATGAAGGATATTTCATTATTGTCCATGAACATCAACACCAAGATGGTTTCCATCCAACCTAGGGTTTCTGTTCTAATTATCAGGGTTTAGTGTCCTACTGTTATGCACGGACTGGGATAATGGAGACAGGCCAGTATTTTTCAAGCCCTGATTTGTGTAACTTTTAAATACAGAATATGTTTTTTGTCTTCTGCTAGATTCCATCGTTAATTACCTTAGAATTATATCTCTCTCTATTCTCTTCATTTTGTCGTCTGTTGTCAGCTAATGCGTTCTCTAATTGTCGCGTTAAACTGGCATTCTCTCTCGATTTCTCTTCTAAACGTAACTGAAATACAAACATACAAATAATCAGATACAGATGTCATTTTTAGAATGTTCCAACTAACTGTACCAATTTAAACAAAATGGCTGATGATTCGGATGGCCACTGTCTGACTAAGGGTTTTAACACATAACTTCCTACCCTTGTTTACAAAGATCAAATTCCCCCTCCATTAACCAAAAGAACAGATTTGACTGGTGGGAATGTCCCTTTAAAATGTACATGTTTTATACTTTATATTTGTATACATATTATGATAATCAGTCACAAATCTGTTAAAAGATCCATTCTAAGCATGTGGTTTTATATAAGCTGATAAAGCTTGTTAGTTATCATATCCTGTATTTATTATATAAATTCTGTAAATTTATTGAATAAAATATTGTTGAAATCATTTGACAGATGATGTGTATTTCATGTCAGTCAAGGTATTATATACCGACATCAATACCAACTAAACTTTGATTATATCTTACATTATTTTGATGAATGGTCTCCTCTCTCTTCGAAACGGTTGATGCCAACTCTCGTACCTGGTCTTCAGCTTCTCGGAATTTCCTATATAAAAATGAGAAGAATATATCTGATATAGATATAAGAAGAATATTTCTGATATAGATATAAGAAGAATATTTCTGATATAGATATAAGAAGAATATTTCTGATATAGATATGAGAAGAATATTTCTGATATAGATATGAGAAGAATATTTCTGATATTGATATTACAATATTGGGCTGACCTTAAAAATATCTTTGTTTCACCAAACCCGACCCACAATCGAGGAGAAGGGTCGGTAGGTCGGTTTTTTTTTCAGATTTTTTTTTAAAGTCAGAGAAATCAATACAGAAAACTTATTAGCTGTATACTACAGATTCATTAATTTTGTTTAATGAATTTGGGGTTTGACGTAAAAAGTAACGAACTGAAATTTTTTATTAAACTTAAGAGCTAATTTGACAGCTTAATAATTTTCCGGGTGGAAACATTCGTCTTCTTTATTGGCAAACAAATCAATGACATCGGGATTTTTCGTGATGCCCGACTCGCACACGATTAGCCACGAACTTGAAGTGTGAAACTCCTTCAACACGTTTTTAACGATAGTGCGCGTTGTGCTTTCATTTTTCTCGAAAACGGATATATTTCAGGTTGACACACAAAATAAAATAAAAAGATCGTGGAAAAGTGCAATAAAATAATTTAAGTCGGGGGTGGTTTTAGTTAGTCGGTCGCGTTAGGCGAAACAAAGATATTTTTAAGGTCAGCCTTGTCTATATAAATATATCAAGAATATTTCCTATGTAGACATATCAATATCATATTCAATAAAAGTATAAAGTTGAGGTAGGCACAACAGTTTATTTCCAATGGGGTCCTCTGGTGACAGATCAGGTCATGTCATCACTGGAGGGCAAGTTCTCAATAAAATTATAATGATATGAAAATTTATATATCATATGATATGGTAAATTATTATGAAAGATATTGTAAATAACATATAAAAAAATAAAAAATGAATTTGACTAACCTTTCTAGAGAATCCATTCTACTGATCATAGCTCTGTTTTCATCCTGGGTTTCATGTAATTTAGATCTTACACTACTCTGAGAATCTGATGTATGTTCAACCTGGTGCCAACAGAAATAATAATCATTAAATAGTATTTTTTGGTTTAAAATTGGATCATTTGTTTTGTCTTTAAATATGACATGAATCAAAGTCAAACAGCTCAACACTCTGCTTTAATTGACTATGGTAGGTATTATCACAAACTGTTCTGCACTGACTGGGGTAATGAAGATGGGCATACACATATACCATACAGTGTGCTATGAGGAAAATCTGGACAGCCTACTCTTATTTTGAATTCTAACTGTCCAGGATTCTTTGACATGCATGTCAATGAGTACACAGGACCTCAGTTTTTCATACCATCCGAATGACAACCCATCCCTTGTCAGGACAAGAGAGAGAGAGAAATGGGGTTTAACGTCCACTCGACACAAACTAGGTCATTTCGGTACTAACATATGGTTTAATTTTATTTCAATAATTCGCTTGTGCGTAGGGGTCTTTAGCAGTGGGAGGAAACCGGAGGACCCGGAGAAAACCCACGAGGCTGGACAGACGACCCTACTCCTTGTCACGTACAACAGGGGATTCGAAACCACGCCAGTTGACTCAATGACAAGCCTTATGATACAGCACGCACATGCTAACCATTCGGCCATCCAACACCCCCCCCCCCCCCCCCCCCCCCCCCGTTTCATTTATGACTGTTAGTAACATTTTTCAGGATTATGTACTTGATAAATGAGTCTCCACATTTCTGGATTCATTGAATTTCTTGTAATAGAGCTACTTCCTGTAGTCAGGATGAAACATTAATGATTTTTTTTTATTGTTTTGAAATAAAAACGAGTCATGCAACCCTTTATAAGTGACACAGAATATTATCTGAGAACCAGAATATTTTTTATTATATGGCCTAATAATCATCTAAGGAATGTAAACACTGTTGAGCATGTACACCCGAAATATTCCTCTAGAAAATATAGGAAGTGTCCATTACCTTACTGGTCAGTTCTGCTATTATTTTGGTATTTTCGGTGTTTTTGATTTCATACATGAGAAGTCTCTCGTTGGCTTCGTGTAATTTACTTTCTGTAGAGCGGAGTAGTTCAGGAAGAGGATCAAGTTCTTTCAATCTTTGATGTAGTCGGACTTTAACCTAATAAATATATAATTTGTTCATATTGGAAATGAAATGGAATGGGGTTTAACATCCTACTTTTCTGCACTGATAAAGATACACCATGCAGTGTGATATGAGTGAGCTTTTCCCCAAACAGCAGGGTTCCGCCTACTCGATTTCCAATTGTCAGGGGATCTGTTATGGGCATGCCAAATGTACGCAGACCTTAGTTTCTTGTCCCATCCGAATGACTACACACACTTCCTTGCCAGACTTCAAGTTTGTTAATAATTCTGTGCGAACAGCGAATAACTAGAATTCAACCTCACCATCAACTAAAGCATATTATAGTCATCTGAAGGACAACTTTTTTTGTTACAAATTTCATAATTGTTCCATTGCTCAATGTCATGACTAATTGGCATATGATTGTTTGTTCGTTCATAGGGTTTTACATCCGCCTTCACTTGGGTGAAACTGCAATCAAAGGGCATGTGATGACAAAACTTTATTTATCTATCAAGTCTGTGGAGTCTGACATCCTACCTTTTCTAGTTCTTGTTGACTGTCTTTCTGTACTCGACCCGTTTCTAGTTGTTGTTCTTCTAATTTCACCATAGAATCATCCGCTTCACGGCGTGATTTATGCATCTACAAAACATAAGAAAAATACAAACTTTTAACTAATAATATAATTATTTTTGAGATAAGGTTAGAAATATTCTGCAATAAGTCCTTTTTGATCAATGATTGCCAAGATGTGTATCAAATAATAAATAAAATAATGAGATAAGTTCTCCAATACACATTAATATCAGTCTAAAATAATTTTTAACAGAAACTTGTATTATTGTTAGTAATCAACCATATATTTACAAGATTTAAAAACCTTTCATCAATGTAATTGGATATGTCTACCTTTGATTATAATGCTAACCTTGGCATCACATGCTCTAAAATACTTCAGGAGGGAGGGAGAGAGAAATGGGGCTAGATTATTTCTAGATATTTAGTAGTGGGAGAAAACCCCCAGGGTCAGGCAGACGATCCTACTCCTGGTCACATATAACCATGAATGGAATCACAAATATTTGACTCAATGACAGACCTTCTGTTATAAAGCACATGCTTTTTAGACCACAATACTTTAAGAGATCACAACACATGTAACTGTTCAAAAGAATTATAGACGAAAAGGTTTCAATGTATAAATACATGCTGTACATCTATTCTACTAGATGAAACACATCCTATAAATATTAAAATGTCTAGACCTCTTTGATTTCAGTCAACAAGAAATTTATTGATTTAATTCGATTTTACATTATGTGTTCTAATTTGGATTTGCTTTAAGGGATGACCATTAATCTGTCCTTTTTTCCTGAACCATTATGTCTATAGATATAGCCAGTGTTGTATAACCAAATTTTGTGCCCTACAATAGTTAAAAAATAGATAATATAATGGGAATATTCTCAAATTACTTCACACTGATCCGAAAAATACTAATTTTAATAACACTGTAGCCATGAATGTCACTGTTACCATTGTTAAGATAATTAACAAAGTCTTGATTATCCATTTTTACGGTTAATCATCAAATTATTGAAGATCAGACCCATCAGATGGCATCGAGAGTTGATTATGGTCTTGTTATGTCTAATTAATAATTTATATAACATTTCAGGCCTAAAGGAACCCTGCAATAGAGTAGAATTTGCCCAAGACAATTTTAACAAGTTGGAAAAATATCAAGCCTAAGAGTTTTAGTTACTTTAAGACTCATTCAACTAGTTTAAAAACTATCAAGTTAAAGTAATTCTTCCTTTCAAGAATAAGATTATATTTGCTTCATCACCCATGCTAAAAAGTCAATGAATTTTCTACCAGATCATTAGGACTTAGCATTATTTTCAATTATGAGGTGTGACAAATATTTTGATAGGTCTGCAAAAAAATGTTTTCCCTACATGTACATGTACATCTCCCAAAGGTGATTTAGAATGTCCATTAACTTATCAGTCTTTGAAAAGAAGAAGGGTTAATATCAATATGCATTTCATGCTCTTTCAAAGTATACACATTCAACTTTATAAATAACATCTGACATTCCATAATGCAGCATTCTCTAATTACCCATAATACCTACCAATCGTCCCACTGTTGCTAGGTAACATGTACCGTCTAGCATATCAACTAACTAAATATATTTTATAAATTTAAAATCATGGATAACAAGATATAATATTAATATAATATAAACAACGACAAATAATGGTGCATGTGGAAGCAGTGAAACAACATGAAAGTGGAACAAAAATGACCCAACACCAAATGGGTCAGATCTAAAAATAAAGGCCACCTGCAGTTTTCGTCTCAAGGCAGCGAGATGTAAATACGGTTAGGGCACGTGATGGTTGATGAGATTGTGGGTTAGGGTAAGGGGTAGGGCTAGTTTTAAGTTTAGGGTTAGGGTTAGTGCTAGCCCTGTTTACATCTCGTAACCATGACGAAATCTGCAGGTGGCTTTAATATTTAGACCTAACCCTCCAAATGGTTAATAATATAACAAAACAAGTAAGATAGTACTATATGGACTAGAAACAGAACACAACATCTTCGCCGCCATCTTGAAATTGTGATGCGCAAGTGTTATTCGATGCACCACTTTCCAAAGTACAAGCTTACCAAGTTTAATGCTGATCGTACTTGACTTGGCAGTAGTGCTTGGTACGTATTGCGATTCAATATTTACCAAGAAAACAACAGGATAAATGAATAATCAATATTTTTAGTCCTGCCGATGTTGAAGAAATAAAACTGCTTTATATCATGATATTGATCAAAATAATGACCAAAACAATTTAAGAGTATTTGAGTACCTGTGGATAATGTGTGAAATGGATAATTAAGAGTGACAGGAACTTACTGAAGCGACAAAAAAACATAAAAAAGAATCATGATACAAATTTTGAGGAGAATCGAGATACATCGATTCAACGATCTATCGCGCTAGCACTACTTGGCAGAGCCTTAGGCTTTCTTTGTAGAGCGCTTGGAGAATAGTTCCTAGTCCATATATTACCAATTAATATAAATACAAAAGTTACCAACACCAATTGTCAATATAATTATTTAACACAAAAGTTACCAACACCAATTGTTAATATATTATATATAATACAAAAGATCATACTGTATTCTACTGCTCTCGTCACAGACCTCTAGTCCGTAAAATTATCGGAGTAGGCTTGAAACTACCCTTTTCTAAACAATTTGGAGGTGGAAATGGTCTAGAAAAATGGGATTCTATTGATAGACAGAGGGTGGGGGTATAAAAAGGGTGCTTCAATCCTTCCACCTGCGACCAATGGACCACCTGGTCTAATGGAAATTTGATAAGGCAGCGTATACGAGTATAAATCAGAAAACAATAATATGATTTTTTTCTATATTCTGTAAAACCAAGCCACTATAGATTATACATACTCTTCTATATCTATAGCTATCTATAATACTATTGTTGTTATAGTTACTGAGAATACTATATCTATAGCTGTCTATAATACTTTATACCATCAACCAAAGCTGTTAAAAGCTACTGAGAATTCTATATTGTAAGTATATTTAGCAAACTAGCAGTTCAGTTACAATTATGGCTGTACCATTTAAAATTACTCATCCAAATAAAAATAATCCGTACCGAAAATAGTAAAAGGGTAGAAAAGTTCCTAGAACAGTGCTTGTAAGCCTGGATCTTGGTGATACAGTCAGGGGAGGTGCAAGAAAAAATCCTTGTTTATGATCCAAAAGAAGAGGATTTTTTCCGGCACCACCATGACCACTGAGATCCAGACTGACAAGTACTCCTCTATGGGTTCTTCTGCACTTCTATTACTTTCAATGAAAGGATATTTCGTCGTTACCTTGCACATTTATACAATTACTCATAGTGGGGATCTACAAAAAAGAGGGGTGTACCCATCCCTTCCCTTCCACCCCGGCTACTCGCCCCCCACGGATAATTTCAAATGGAACAGCTGTTAGTAGTTGAATTGTTTGCTAACCTGGTCTTTGTATTCGTCCACCAATCGTTCGTATTGTTTTAAATTAGATCGTAGATTAATGACATCATCTTCAGCGAATTTAAACTTACTTTCTATACTTGCTATAGATGACTAGAAATATATATACATCGACATCTTGATAATAATAAATTCACACACAGACCTCACTATATAGCTGATTTACTGTAAATCGGGATAAAGCAGGGAAGCACAGTCTAATTAGAACTAAACCAGTATTTCATTCTAGTTTGTTTGGTTGTTTACCACGCAGTCTAAAGACATTGTGATTGGGTGGAATCCAGTCCAACGAACCAATCTAAACTTGCAATACAGAAAACAGTGCAAAATCGTTTGTAATAATTTGATCATCGTTCCATTTGATTTGCTATCTGAACAAGGTGTTATTATGAGGTCATCATAAACCCAGAATGCACTTTTCTGAATAATGTGTATCTTGGATGTGTATTTCTAGCAACATCTGGATAAGGGTTGCATTGTCTTTTTCAAGCAAATAAGATGTTAATTTGTTTACGAACTAAACAAATAGAATGAAAATAATGTCTAGTTGTATGAGACTAGCTAGAAGTGTGGACATTTTGTATATTGGTCAGGGTTTATATAGCATATAAGGGTCTCTCAATAACATGTGTGTCTACACCAACTTCAATGTTATACTATAGTGAAATCCTTGTGTCATATCAATGTATAAAGCCTTTTAAAAGCATTAAAAAATTAAAAGCTCTAATTTAAATTTGTAAAAGACAAACTACAGATTTAACCTTTAAACTTTTACACTTTGTTTTTCTAATATTTTCAGAGGTTGAACTAAATCACCAAATTCTGTCCAACCTGATCAAAATATGTAAAAATCAAAATTTTGAAAATGTTCACAGTAAAATAAAGGATAATTCTGCATTCTAGTTTCTACTTTTCCAAATTATTTTAAAAGCCAAATTACAGTAGCTACATGCTCTTTTTTTTAGCTCTATAAAAATTCCTGAAAATGGTCAAATTATTTCTTGCACCATGTACTAGCTACACAAGTGTCTAAGAAAACAAAATGGCAATAAAATATTTAAAACAGAACAATAATATTGAGTGCTTCTCGTTCCGTGCCATCCAACACCAAGTGATTATTATTATTATTACAACAATTGTACAATAACAAGACAATAACTATATATAGAATATACAACAGATATGTAAAAATCCCTGTATAACAATATTTTGGTTTATTTATGTCACAGGTTTATATGCTGATAGAAGGTCAAATGAAATCGGGTTTAACATCCTACTTTTCTGCTCCATCCAGGCCAACATATACACATTGACCTCAATTTTTCGTACCATCTGAACGATTACACGCCGATAATTGCATGCCTTTTCATGATGAAAAACCCAGAGTAACTATCTCATTCATCAATGGAGTTGAATGCAGGAATTAGCCAGCGCCGCAATCACTGAGCCAGTGTTTATTAATGACACATGTTTAAATAATGGTGGAAGGGATATAATAAATGATATATTAATTATTTCAGATACCATGTAAATATCACTATTAGGGCTCAAAATCCAATCAATTTGAATTAAAAGTCTTGTCATCTTGAGACCAGCACAAAACTGCGTACAGATTAGTACCCTAAGGTCTATTAAATCCTTTTGGGGACTAACATATGGTTCAATTTTATTTCAATAAGTTTGCACATAGGTGTCTTTAGCTGTGGGAGGAAACCAGAGAAAATGTACAAGGTTGGCCAGGCGACTCTACTCCTTGTCACATTAAAGTTAGGCATCGAAACCACGCCAATTGACTCAATGACAGGCTTTATGATCTAAAGTGCACTTCTTAGACCATTCAGACCCCAGATATAGCAGTAGTATCCTGGTCATTATTTTTTTAGGTTTTGTAAAAGAAACCATAAATATACCATAATATTGTATAAGAGGAAAATACTACACACTACTTTTCTATGATCAAAATATAAAAATACTATAAATCATTCTACCTTCAATCTTTCATTCTCTATTTTGAGACTGGCAACATCGGCTGTTTTTTCGCTAAGTTTAACGCTTAAATCATCGTTCTTTGTTTTATTATTGTCCTCTAGTTGATCCACGATACCTTCCAGTTCGTTAATACGCCTGAAACATTAATAGAACATAAGGGTTTAAAGTCCACTCCCCAATATTATCTAGTTCTGGGACTTAAACATACATTATTCAAGAGCTAAATGTGCCTTTTGCAGGTCTTTCATTAGGCCTTGAATGTTATATAAATTATTAATTAGACATTTATTAACATGACAAGACCTCAATCAACTCTCGAAGCCATTGTATGCACGAGATTTTAAGTAGATTAAAACGGTTCAGCCATTTAATGATTTAATTTATAAATGGAGGAGTAAGTCTAAGTCTTGAATATACCAGTGCTGCGGTTAAGATAATAAAAAATCAATGCACATATTTTGTCAAATCTATTATAGACAGAACGACCAGCTCTTTATCTAAATCTTACATAATGTATCTTTAAAGACATTGAAATGAAATGGGGTTTAAGGTCCTACTGTTCCAACTTTAAAGGCAAGGGTGTATAGAAACTACAATATTGTAAAAGTTCAATCTCTAATTGGAATTTTGGTCCAAAATGGTCAAATTATATTCAGAATTTACAAAGATATGCCGAATTGAAAACTCCACAGATCTGTGCTGCTCCCTACGTAAACAAGACGGCCACCATCTTTATTTGCAGTGAACAAAATTGATGGGCCTTTTTTTTAAAAAATCTGATTGAATCCAATCTAGGGTTGATATGTTGATCTTGTTTTCTTAATCAAATGTCAAATAATCAGTTTTATAATATTCATAGATGTGTCAAAAGAAAGAGTAGGTTGAAGAAAATCGAGGGATGAGATGAAAGCTTTGCTAAGCAGAGTTCTATGAGTGAAAAATAAAAGGCAATTGAATATTAAATTGTTCCTATTTCATACGTAAAAAAAATTAAAAATATTCATTATTTCTACAGAAAATATCAATCATTAAAGTATATTTCTACTAGAGATTGAAAGAAAGCTAGTTAGAATACATGATAACCATGAACTGATGACTCAACTTTTCTTTTACTTAAATAAATCAATATTTTTTTTTTATTAATGTTTCAGAGACAGATGCTGTTGATGTCCACTCAACACAAACTAGTGCATTTCGCTACTACCTTGTACAGTGGAGTCTTTAGCAGTGTGTGTTGGGGGGGGAGGGGGGCTAGAGGACCAGAGGACCCAGAGTAAACCCATGAGATTGGGTAGGCGACCCTATTGCTTGTTGCTTGTACATGTTATGCCACTTTATTCACTGACAGACCTTATGATCTAAAGTAAACACTTCATACCCTACCCATCATTCCCACAACTCTCCTTGCCTGTGTTAAATAAACATTATGTGATGGTCAATTAGAGCAATTAGAAAGTGAGAGAATAAAAACAACAAATATCACTCACTTTCGTAACGATGTATTTTCACTAATAGCTTGCTGTCGTTCTTTCGTTATTTTCTCTGATCTGCCTTTATTTTGATCTAACATTGACTTATATTCTATAACCTGGGCCTCAGTTTCAGATAGCTGGGCATTTAATTTATCTAATGCATCTTCACTACGTTCTGCTCGTTGTTTCTGGGCCCTGAAGCGTGAAATATTGGTAAAAATGGTGTGAGCTGTCGCCGTTTTTATACACCACAAATATACATTCTAATTGTTGGGGAAAAACAAGGATTACAGGTTCATTCAAATCATGTTTTTTAATTGTAGGGTTAATAGCAAAAAGCATAAGCTAGTTTAGTGAGTTAGTTGAGAGGAATTATGAAAGTTATAGGTTTAGATGATATTGCAAGCAGAAACAAACTAAAACAATAACATTTCTACTAAAGCTATGAAGAGGGCCTTTTAATACAGATGAAAATACGGGAACCATTCATACACAGCCTCTAGACAGGATTAGTCAGTTAATGCATTATGTAAGAGCTAAATCTGGATTTTTTTTCTGACTTCAAATGTTATATAAATAATTCATTTTGACGTTCATTAACATGACAGACCCTTAATTAACTCTCTAGATCATCTGATGGTTTAGATATTAAGTGGATTAGACTATCTGCACCATTTAATTAAATGGAAAATAGAGACATCATTTATTATTTTAGTAATGACAATTGACAAAACTTCCAACACTCATAACTTCGCTCAGAATAAAGTAATTTGACTGAAATTTTCAATTTATCAATTTTTCATTATCTATTTTTGAACTTTTATAGCGAGAACGACCATCTCTTTATCTAAATCTCACATAATGCATCTTTAACGGGAGGTGACAAACTGTATAAATAATTAACACAATAAACTGTACCTTGTAGCTTTCTTTAGAGCTTCTTTATCTTTATCAGATCTTTCTTTAGATGTGTTAACTAAATGTTGTAAATGTTCCATTTCTATTGTGTTCTGTGCTAAAGAACTTTCTAATGTCTGAAATATATAACGTTAATAAACATTAATAGAGAGAGTTTAATGTTCACTCAAAACAAATTAGGTCATTTGGGAGCTAACGGGGTTTAATTTTATTTCAATAATTCACTCTGCATAGGAGTCTTTAGCTGTGGGAGGAAATCAGAGAACCTAGACAAAACCCACAAGTTTGGCCAGGCGTTAAATGCACTAAATTAACATTGTGCATCTGTGGGTTGCGTGTCAGGATGTCGCCTGGACCTAGTATTAGTAATTACATACTTTAATACAAAATAGTAAATTCAATTTACAAATGATGATTTTAGCTAAAATATATTTTGCAAAAAATAATGTTTACTGTGTATTTCAAGTTCTTCATTGAAGACAATAATGAAATGACTTAATTTACCCTAATCTGAACGGCCATTCTGTTACAATCAGAATCTTTAGTTCTCAACTGTTTCTGTAGATGACCTCGAGTTGATTCAAGGGTTCCTTGCAGATTCGTTAATGTTCCTATTTCATTCTGAAAAACATCAATTATTAAAGTTTCAAAACATCAATTATCAAAGTGTCTGAAAGTCAATTACTAAAGTGTCTGAAAGTCAATTATTAAAGTATCTGAAAGTCAATTAACAAAGTGCCTAAAAGTCAATTATTAAAGTGACGTAAAGTCAATTATTAAAGATAAATTGTCCTGAAAGTATTTATCGGGCGGTTATTTTCAATAAAAGTATGGCTAATTTGGTACAGACACCCAATCTTACTAGAAAAATACTGGATTACCCGAAAAACACCCAAGGGGCAAGCACTGGGTAAAAATGTCAGGATATCACTAACTGGCAACCCAAATGTTGTCTGCCAGCTTATTGTGTGCAACTTGACTGAGGGAGCAGTTGTTACTTCTTGATCAATTCGTTAGGCGGATTTGGGAACATTGAGGGGTGTCAACGTATAAAAGACTCTGAAGTAATTGACAGAAAATAATTAAGAATTTACTGACGCCTCAATATGTATGATAAATGGACAGTAAGTAACGGAAAATACATTCTGAAAAATGGACCCTCCCTCAAGGAATTGAACTGACAGACATGCGTCTAACACAGTTTATTTATAGCTTGCGTTATTTCCCGATGAATACAACGTTTTGAGAGGGATTTGAAGCAAATTTTTGATAAATTAATTAGTCCAGGTCTTTGAAAGTGAATTATTAAAGTCTCTGAAGATCATTTAAGGGATTTAGGGAATCCCTTGCAAATAACAATTTTGTTAAAGTTTAATCTCCAAAAGGAATATCATTCCACAAATGGTTCAATTCCATTCAGTATCTACATGTACATAGATATGTCCAACACAAGCTTGAGCTCTCTGTAATCTTTGCTACAATATTCTAATCCCACTGAACCCAATGACAGGAGATTATCTACCATTTATTTTCACAATTTGAGCATGGATTCATCCGTGGAAAATTTGATGAAATGATGAGAGACTTTAATGGGCTATTAACCCCTGAAAATTGGGAACAAAGCTTAGAACAGTTTCTAAAATAGTTCTGTTTACCTTTTGCTCTGTGATTTGATCATGTAATTCGACCATCATTCTTTCTCTATCCATTAATTCACATCTCATTCTCTGTTTTAATTAGATCAATATTCTATCAATAATTACATCAATATTATATTAACATCAATCAATTAACGTCTTACTTTATTTATTTTCAGTTACATCGAAGAGGCTTAACTTCTTTAAAATGATGACAAATGGATACATTTTTAAAAAAACAGAGAGGAATTTATCTGACAAACCTCATTAGCCCTGTCCGTATCTGACAATTTCTTCATCAATAGATCCCGTTGTTCACCAAGTCGCAACGTTGCAGCTTCGTGGCTGTGCTGTTCTCGCAACAAACGTCTCAGAACGCGATTGGTTGCCTCAAAATCTGCAAGTTTTTCCAGCAGCAGATCTTTCTGTTTGGTAAATTTCTCAGACTGGGTCGTATCTTTCAACCTCCGAATAACTTCCCGAGTTTCTCGAATCTGTTGTGCAACAGCCTGGCCATCCATTTCAACTTCTATTAATTTCTTCATCAACTTTTCTTGGTCAGCTGTGAAGAAATCTGTATCCCTGTACAAACAAAATAAGCATCAAGATAAAAATAAATGTCACTGATCGTCATTTAAGGGATTTTGAACCCCTTGAAAACTACAATTTTGCTATAGTTAAATCTCTAAAATAAAAGGTGAGCAAAACATGCTAACCTGGAGGTCCTGTGTACGATCTTGGTGGGGGGGGGGGGTTGGATGGCTGAAGGGTTAGCGTGCGTGCGCTGTATCATAAAGTCTGTCATTGAGTCGACTGGCGTGGTTTCAAATCCCCGGTTGTACGTGACAAGGAGTAGGGTCGCCTGTCCAACCATATTAAACCATATGTTAGTCCCGAAATGACCTAGTTTGTGTTGAGTGGACGTTAAACCCCATTTCTCTCTCTTTCTCTCATGATCTCGGTGTTGGATGAAAAGTGCATAGGGATTTTACGGGGTGTTTCCCCCTTGTCAGTGGTGCAGGACAGAAGGCCTGTGTTCACATTGATGTGCATGTAAAAGATCCCTCAGCAGTCGTAGCGCCGCTGTAAAGGCAAAATTCCTCTCATAGCACACTGCATGGCATAATATGCTCGTCTTCAATAGACCAGTTGTAGGATGTTAAACCCCATTTCCTATCTAACCTAAAAGGAATATCAGTCCAAAAATGGTTGAATTCCATTCTACAAAGATACAGTATGATGAATTGAAAAGATTGTAAGATTCAACCTTCACAGCAGACAATATAAACAAGCCAGCACCTCCTACCGGTATGTGTTTTCATAAACAAACTTTGGATGGGCCTACTTTTAATCTCATTGATTCGAAACCAAGAGATTATCTACCTTTGATATTTTGGTTTGGTTTTCTTCATCAAAAGTTAAATAATGAATCTGAGTACATTTAGTGTTGTTTAAACAGTGCTACAATATTGGGGAGCCACGGTGGCCCAGTGTGTAAACATTGGCTTGCTAACCTGAAGGTCCCGTGTTTGATCTCTAAACCCATCAGGTTTTTCCGCTGCCAATAAAATATGACAGTGTCTTGTTATACTCGAGCTGCATAGATCAATGAAATTTCAATTTATCATAACTTTGTAAATACTGAACCTAATTGAACCATTTTTGGACTGATCCTATAAGAGATTAAACATTGACAATATTGTAGTTTGCAAGGGATTCCTATAGCACTAAATGACTCATGGAGCCTTTACAAATCTGGAAATATTTACCTGGATAAATCTGGGTCACCTTTCAAAATGTCAACATTCTGACGTAGGATGCGATTCTCGGCCTCGGTAGCGTTGAGTTCATCTTGGTATGTCTGTATTTCATCATCTTGTTTGTCTATGACTCGCTGTGATGAGTTCAATAGGTCATCTCTCTTCTCTATCTCGTGTAACGCTTTCTGTAGATCAACCTACAACAAATCAAATGGAGTTTAACGTCACACTTTTTCTAAACCAACCGGGTTATTGAAAATGGGCATATGCCATGCTGTGTGCTATGAGTAAAAATTGACCAGGAGAAACTAGATCATTTAGGGACAAACATGGTTTAAATAACTGGCTTGCATGTATGGATATTTAGCAGTGAGAAGAAAACTGGAGAACCCTGAGAAACCAGCCACTTCACTCAATGACAGACCTTCTGATCTAATGCGCACACATTAAACCATTCAGCACCCAACTCCCCTGTATAGCTTGGTTTGCCATAACACTGGTTTCAGCTTGAGTTCAAACAAATCTTTTGTGTGTAAACTTACCTCATTTTTTAAAGTTCCAACTTCGGACATAAGACCATCAATTTTCTTTTCATAAGATCTCATTTGCCCGTGAACTTTATCCTCTTCATCTGTGGAAAGTTCGTTACTTTGATCTCTATCCTGACCCGTGGGAATCTCCAGACGATACGTCGGCCCCTGAAATCATCAATATATAATATAGGCCCCTGAAATCATCAATATAATTTAGGCTTTAATAAAAAAGGCCTTAAACATCTATCTTTTCTACATAATATAGGTCTTAATCAATTGGAGCTTGATATAGGCCTTAAAAATCTATATTTTAATAATATAAAACTTTACAAGAACAAAATATTCAAGGGGCATTACGTAAGATTTAGATAAAGACCTGTCCGTTCTCACTATAATATTTCAAAAATAGATAATGCAAATGAATATATTGAAAATTTCATTTAAATTACTTTATTTTGGACGAAGGTATCAATCTATAGTTTTGACAAGATGTGTGCATTGATCGTAACTTAGCCTCGCTTCTCCATTTTTAAATTAAATCATTAAATGACCGAACCATTCTAATCTACTTAAAATCAGAGCCATCTGATGGCATCGAGAGTTGATTATGATCTTGTCATGTTAATAAATGTCTAATTAATAATTTATATAACATTTAAGACCTAAAGAAAGACCTGCACTAGGCAGATTTAGCTCTTACATAATGCCTGTTTAAATATTAAACATACATTATGCAAGAGCTAAATCTTGTCTATTGCAGGTCTTTCTTTAGGCCTGAAATGTTATCTAAATTATAAATTAGACATTAATTAACTTATCCAGACCATAATCAACTCTCAACGCCATTTCAATACCTTTTGTGATGGATGATTTAATGTCAAAATGGATAATCAAGACTTGGTTTTTTATTGGACCAACTTTAGTAATGATGATCGTGCTAGGCATAAAATTCAATTGCTAATATATCGGTTCCGAGTGGAGCAATTTGACCGAAATATTTACATTCTCTTTACGTTATCTATTTTTTAACTATTATAGCAAGAACTGTCAGCTTTTTATCTAATCTCCCATAATTCCCCTTTAATGAACATACCTGCCATGCTAGCTTTGATCCTCTTGTTGTTTTACCTGGTGGGGGAACCCATGGTCCTCCTCCAGGACTACGACTTCTCGCTCTAGCAGAAGAGGGTTTGACCTTCTGACACGTGTTACTAGAGCTCTTGCTGTAAATTGGTCCGCCAGAATTACCAGACTTTTTCTTCTATAATTAAATGACTTACATTTGGGATTTTTTAAGTACAAAGCATGAACAAATTACTAATTTTGAACATTTTAAGAGACTCTATAAAGATTTTTTTGCTTGAGTGTTGACCGGTGCACAGTCTTCATATGGTCAACTTGTACACTGTACTAGTCATAAATAATGTCAAATGCACCTTAAAATGGTCTTGGGACACACCATAAACCTTATTGGATAGTGGAACACTTAATGTTGTTTTTACAATAGGCCTATTTGAATATTCACAAAGTCATCATTCGAATAATGTTTGATCATTCGACATTGGATCTTTTAACAGTGCATTTTCTTCAGATTTCTTGCAGCTATAAATCTTCCAAATGACTATATTACCAACATCTGCATAAATTGATTAATATCCATTAATTTGAACTGTTATCAAATAACAAATACTAAATAATCTGTTCGAATGACCTTGAAAAAATATTGAAATTTTAATATTTGTGCGAGCACTACCATTAGATCTACGATAATCAATTTACAAAATTACAAACCTGCGTCAAAGTGCATCTACTCTTTTTGGATTTAGTTTTCTTGACATGAACATGAACTGGTATATCATCATCCACATGTACATGAACCGGTGATGTTGGTCTGAGACCGTTCTCTACTGTCATCTCTCTAAAAAAATAAAAAAAATACAAAATGAAATGCAAAGACAAAAGGGGTTTAACATCTTACTGTTCTGCTCCGACTGGGCTAATGAAGACAGACATAGACTTGACTAATGAAGACAGTGTGCTATGAGGGAAATTTTGCCCAGACAACGACGCTACTACCTACTCTTATATCGAATTCCAACTGCCAATGTGTACATGGGACCATCCGAAAGACCATCTGTCACCATATATATAGCATATCAAAAATGAACTGTATCGACATAGCCCTAGTAATAATATTAATAGCTTATTTTGAAGGGAAAGCAATAGACAACGGACTCCACCTGCTTTTTTATTTTCGGTATTAAACTGTCCACCAAATATTCATAATTCTTTTAAACCATCAACTCTCCTCCCCACTTTCCGATATCCTGAACATGCCAATGATCTATACTTTATTTATAGATAGAGTATAAATTACTATACAAAGAAAAACCATTATTGTGGCCAGAGTAAAACAATTGCCTTTTTTAAAAATCATCAAACATTGATGAATAAATCAAAGTTTACCAGATGGCATGTCTGACTAATGCAGAGAACGAGCCATGTGTTGTAAGGATGACATGAGTCTTAATTAACACCTAGCACATCATCTTATTAACTATTAATAAATTCACTAATGAATATACAAGATTACAGATGACAGATATGTAGGCTATCGGTACTGTATACATCAATATTTCAAGTTACGGTATGAATTCTCAAAAAGTTGACATTGATTTGCTGAAATAAATCACTTTTTAAATGAAACGACATGAACTTGTCAAAGATATGAATTTTTCAATAATAACTATTAACTCATAACTGGTACAATTTTTTCTATTTTTGAAAGGCATTATTATTATTAATGATTGAATTAATAAATATTTTATTGACGGATGACATGGTACCTTTTTAAGAAGAAGTAAGCTTATACATGTCAGTAAATTAGCAGAATGAATAAACATTTAACCTAATAAATAATATTTTGTTTGGTTGGTCAATCTGATGATGAACCCAATTAAAAACTTTCATTCACTTGTAACTTGTAGGTAGGGTAATCTTATTAATTTATTTTTTATTTCACCATTCTAACCACACAGAAATGAAGGTTAGGGTGAATAGTAATAATAGTTTATTTAAAGCTCTTTGCATTCCACAGTGAATAGAGATGCCAATCAGTGTCATAGAACGGAAGCGGCAAATTCAGATTCTTGTTTGAGCAAGTTCAAATATTTCAGATTCTCCTTATTTAAAACTGCAAACATCCAAACCTAGTAGAAATGTGTAAAACTGAATAAACAATAATTACCATTCTCGAACGGAATGAACTTAAAATATTTAGTAAGAGAGCCAACTACTTACTGTTTCGGGAAACGTTGTCAAAAACAATGTTTTCTTGAAAATTCAAGTTGCTACACGACACTCAAAAAATGTACACGATTCCATATTTTCGGTGACGCATTCGAAGACGAAAATCTCACATTATAAGAAAAATATTGCTTGCAATACTTACCTGGGTGCCTCCTCAGAATCCCACAGTTATTTTCTGGAAGAATATCTTAAATTTGAAGCCGAATTTTGAGGATAAATTCACTAATTCATTTGACAAATTTGTTGTTTTTGTGATGATACAATTTCCAATGATTTGATTGGTGGAGACGGTTTGCGAGGTCCTTTTTAACTTCAGACAGTAGAAATTGTGCAAAGGGACATAACCGTGTAAATTTACTTTAGTAAGACCACTTATTCATATTGTATAAGCTTACAGGAAATATCTGACTTAATCCAATGTTATATCTAGGTTTCAGATTCATAAACATCCAGAATAATCAAATCTTTATATCAGTAGATCTAGGCCAATAAAAGGGAAAACATGAAGGAATATTATGAAAATAAATACCTTTGTGACCCGACTCCTATGTACAATTTTAATAGAATTATCGAATAATTGGTATCACTTCAAAAACTTATACATTGAATAATGCTTTTGAATTTGCAAATAACTTGATTTGGAGAAAGCATCGAGTTTGCATGTACCTTACATCAAAGATGGTTTTCAGCTCAAATTCCTACACCAATCAACATCAAAGTGTTCTTATTAGTCAGTGCAGGGGACTGCACCACACATACTAAAGAGCTGGTCGTTCTCACTATACTATTTTAAAATCGATAATGCAAAATCAATATATTGAAAATTTCATTCAAATTACTTTATTTTCTGCAAAGTTATCAATGGCCAAATAGTCTTGACAAGATGTGTGCATTGATCGTAACTACAGTACTGATCATTTGAGTCTTAGACTCGCTTCTCCATTTTTAAATTAAATCATTAAATGGCCAACCCATTCTAATATACTCAAAATAGGAGTAATCCGATGACATCAAGAGTTAATTATGGTCTTGTCATGTTAATAAATGTCAAATTAATAATTTAGATAATATTTAAGGCCCAGAGAAAGACCTTCAATAGGCAGATTTAGTTCTTACATAATGCCTGATTAAAAACCCAGGAGACGAACATCTGGAAAAGACAAACGATATTGTTAGCCACAAATGAACCATCAAGTAAAAGAAATGGATCTAGGGGCAAGTTGCTGGCATCCATTGCACTGTCAAGTCTGTATCATTTCTTTTAGACGGCCATGATGATTGTAAAGTTAACAGCTGCTGCTACTACATTGCATTTGCCTGGATAACAAAACCAGTGATTGTTTCCCATAAAAATAGTGTTCAGTTAATTTGTTTCTCAATTGCTAAATACCACATAAAAAAAGCCAAATCTCTATTTTTTGGAACCTGGAACAGGCGAATATGGGTCAAAAAGCACATAAGATAACATCACTATTGATTGGAATGGACCAAGATTTGTATTTGTAATATAGTAGACTCTGGATAATATTGAGTTAGAGCTTTATGCCCTTTAAATTGGCTTCTCTTTACTCAGTATCTTCATCCATGCAAAAATTATATAAACATGGTCATTTAGTTTTCTGTGAAATTCTTATGTAATATAGATGTAGTGGACATAAAAAGAGCCAAGTTTGGAAATGAACTGCAGATATTACTAGGAACCTAGCCTAGTACTTTTGCATCCCGACTTATTAAAGGAAAAATAAAATAGGGGCTTAATAGCTTCCTTTTCTGCGCCAACCGAGCTAATGGAAGACCAGAAATTTGGCCTGGACTGGAACATTTCTTAATATTTATAGGATAGCACCTGCCAAGTGTTCATTCACATTCACTCCAATGTCTACAAAGGATTTATGACACGAACGACTTGATACTGCCTGGCCCTCTGTCCTGCACCACTGACAACGGTGAAATCACGACAACAGATATTTAGGAACTCTCGGCCTTCACCAAAACTGAACGCAGGTTAGCAAGCCAGCATCGCATGAAAGGAAAACAACTCTAGTATATATAGTACAGCAACATTTTTAATGTTGAAAATATACAGGACATACAAAATACATTAATTATAAATTGTTGTTTTAAACAAACAAAGTTAATGTATCTACAAACTGTCTTCATTAATTAAAATAAAATACGACAACAAAATATTATCATGCTCAAAACTATGAACAAAGAAAAAATACCTAACTAAAACTTTCACAAATTCTCTTTAACAAAATTTAATCACAAACAATGATGGGTTGATAATCTAGAGTTTCACTCCCTTTAGGTCCAATTACTAAATCTCTGTTAAGATATTAATACTAACAACTCCACTAGGCTGTTAAACTGTTTAAAATGGAATTTAGTAATTTAACGAGCAATACACAAGGTAATGGAATACAATTACTACTGTTTATTATGGAGCGAAGCTTTGACTACATTCCCTAGTCTATCAAGCATGGACAGTAATTGTATTCCATAGAATAGCATCCAGTGTATCACTAGACTGAGACCCTACAATAATACATGTATACATTAAGTTACACTTTAACAATGATGTTGGGTCCACTGATTAATATAATTTAGACTTGGTGAAGTCATAGAAACAGGGTTAGGGCAACTGCATGTAAAGTATGAAGTTATTTTGTTAAAAAGTTACAGCTGAAGGTACAGCTGTAAGTGCATACACAAATACCCCCTAAAACCCAATAATGCAGCTTGTACTCGAGTACACACTGTGACTTCACTATAACACTGATGTTGATGTCCACCAGTGTTATAGAGAGACGTGGATTTTCTATAACACTGTTGGTGTGCAATGAGACATACATGTAGTTAAGTGATATTTAATATATGTAGTTGCATTTACACACAAGCATGATAATTTATACATACATTGTAGTGGGACTATTTGACTAAATGTTTTTTTTCTTCAAATCTATTAAAAATATGAAATACCCAAAAACCAGACTAATGTTCATATCATATAGATAGATACATGTACATCTTGTAGAAAAATATCTTTTGTGATAATAAAAGCATGAAGCAATTGCTCCAGACCAGTGGCATAGCCTGTAACATCCATGGTATTCCCAGTGGCATAGTCTGTTCTACTGGGTCCATTTGATAATTTGACTATGTATCTCCTCCGTAATTAGACCCAGGGGTTAGTGGAGCAGAACGGAACAATGCAACTAGGGATACCGAAAATGGTTCTGTACAAGGATTAATAAAATATTCACACAACTCTTAAATCTCCTTTAACCGGTTGAGTGCCCGATATAAAGTTTTAGGCAATACAATACTGTATTGTGGTATATGTATAGGATGGGGAATTCTATATGGTAACTTTAGAAAAACTGCATCTGAAATATTCTCACAATTTTAATTCTCTTTTAACAGTCCAATATAAAGTTCTAAGCAATACAATATAGTATTGTGGTAGTAGATGGTGAATTCTATGACATACATGTAGCTATAGAAAAATTGCATGTAAATAGTCATTGTGATGATATAGAGAAATGGAACCCACATGCACGATATGAATGCATTATGAACCTACATGTACAATGTAAATGTAGCAAACGTAACCATGACTATAATAACAAGGCAACTCATTTAAGTATGCTTCATGCAATGTGGCCCTAACCATTAAGAATTCAATCTTCAAACAATATTAATATTACTTTCAGGATTTATTTAAAATAAACATTTCATGAACTATCTCAGCACATTATTCAAACATTGAGAGTTATTCCCCTTATTAACTGTAATCTTTAAAAAAAAGAAAAAAAAAAGATGGGTTTCTGAATTTCAATTCATATATTTGCATTTACAGAATGCTAATAATTTTTCCTCTTTAGCTTTCAACCTTATATCTTTTGTTTATATAAAGAAGAATAGGGGATGGTGTTTCAAGTTGGACCAGAAATAAAATTAGTACACCGAATTTACGTCAAAGAAACACCCTGGTCGATATGTGACTAAAGTTACATCATCTTTGATGTGTCTAATAATGGAAGATTATAATAGGAATGGAAGTTACATGTAAATAATATTTCAACACAAAAAATGTGACCTTTTGATGTACATGTACAAGGATGTTTCTCTTGTCCAATGTGAATAACATGGCATTTTTATCTGATTAATACTAGATTAAAGTCACAAGAACTGTCAATATCCCAGGTATTACTTGTAAGCACAAACTTTTTAAAATTATTTACAAACATCTAATAATTTTACAACTGCCATTTCTTAAATATACTTTCTATTTTTCTGTTTATTGTACATGTACCTTGAAAAACAGCTCTTCACACTGAAGTCTGTTCAGTGTCAATTACATATAAGACAAAATTCAATAACTACATTGACAAACTACACATACATACAGGTGTAGGTGTACATCTTAACCATTTAAAATTTGTATTTATACAATATGAGCATTGATTGGTCCTTCAGTTGCTAACCGGATACCACAAACATGTCCTTATATAGGCAACATCACATGACAATTCTCTAATTACATGTATATGAAAAGGGACGGTACATACAGATACTCACTTGGACATCCAGTCATTGTTTTTAACGGGGCTAGATTGAGCCGAAGCTCATTGAGAACCCGAATCTGGTCAAAAATCAATGTGTAATTGTGTATGCTACGGAGAATGAATTCCTGGTGATACCGACTCTAAATCTTGTACCAGTACTCAAAAGTTCCCCTGCCATAAGAATAAAAGGAACCATTGTCCCTATTAACTCTCCTTACATTGTACTTATGAAATCCCTTACTGTGTCCAAACTGGGAGAACTTTATAAGGAGAGCGATTTTTGACTTTTGCAAAATAAAGTGAGCTCTTTACAGCTCAAGAGCCAAACATAAACAATGACTGGTGGGGCATCATTCACAAGAACTTTTTATTATTGGTCCATTGCAACATGGAAGATTTCAAAACTCAACCAATGAAAACGATAATATTTCATACTGTCTTTTCATTGGTTAACAGTTAATCATCTCGCCAAGTACTTTAAATCTCAACCAATCAATAGATAGTATCCATAAAACAAAGCTTTTAAGACTAAAGGAATTTGTTGCCCTGTAACATGTATTTTTTTTATGCATTATGTAATGATATTAAAACTGATATTCTACATATGCCCTTATATAGAAGTGCACATTAACAAGTGACGTAACTTTAACACACGTTTACACTTAGTAATATTAATATTAATATGGGCAAAAAAATACTGGAAATATTTCAATCGTACAGATTACTGAATACTAGTTTCTCTATAAACTTCACAAACATGAGAACTTTAAATTTCTGTACAGTTTTCAAAATACTATTTTTTCTTCTACTTTTTAAAATATGATTCTGTTTCATAAAGATTTCAAAATACATGTGTTTTTTGTCTATATTTTTAAACAACTGAGTAATTAAAAATTTGATTTTTTTCCATACACATTTCAACATATTATTTTTTCTTTTACTTTTGAAACCTTTCGAGTTCATTAAAATGTTATTTTCTAAAAATACATTAGTTTTCTTGTCTACATTTTTAAACTGAGTACATTAAAATAGGATTTTTTCATTTGAAGTGTACAGGTGTACCATATAAAATGTCCAACAATACAAGTTGTGAGATTTGGGTGTAATCTAAGATCAAAGTTCTACTGGTTCGCCTGTTTGAATGATACTTGTAAAGCCTTGCCATTGTAGTAATATCCGTTCAAACACTGAATTGCGTTGGCTGCTTCACTCAGATGTGTCATAGTAACGAAACCATATCCCTTGCACATTTGTTTCTGACTGTCGTAAATGACGTTCACCTTTGTCACACTTCCAAAAGGACTGAATAACTGCCACAATGTCTTTTCATCGGCATCACTGCCAATATTGTACACAAATATGACATGCCCTTGACCGCTTTGTCCAGGCATCATCATTGGGTTGTAACGAAAGCGATTTCCACCACCTTGATTGCGCATCGGTCCCCCTCGACTGTTACCCATTGGACCATGTGGAGTAGGACCGTGACCAAATCTAGGACCCGGAATCATTGTAGGGGGGATAACTGGTGGTCGAACTTTTTTCGAGTTGTCGTCCGCGTATTTAATCATTAGCGGATCGGTTTCTCCGGGTGGAACTTTACCACTCAGTTGCTTTATGGCGTTATCCGCAGATTCTTTCTTGTCGAACAAGACGAATCCAACTCTACGTGAAACACCAGTTGCTGGCTCAATTAATACCCTTGACTGGATGATTTCACCGAAACCCTCAAACATGGCGTTTAATTCAAGTTCTTTCCACTGTGCTGGTATATTTCTGACATACATATTGGCTCCTTTAATGGTCTCTCCTCCTGGGCGAGCGAACGCTACTTTAATACGCTTATTCTGCATCTGAAGACCATTAAGACTATGAATCGCACGAGCAGCATCCTCTTCTGTTTGATAATCAACAAACCCGAAGCCATAACTGTATCCTGTTGCTCTGTCACGTATAACCTTTGCTGATTTCAGGGACCCTATGCTCGTAAACATCGACAGAAATTCTTCATCGGACAGTGTCTGGGGAAGATAATTGATGATCAAGTTGGTTCCACGGCCCATAACACTTCCAGCGTTCATATCATCTTCTTCCGTGTATGTCTCCATCGTTTGTTCTGCCATTTCCAATTATCTGGAGATCCTTCCGTCCTTCTATGGGTATCCATTGGTAAAGGTAAAAAAAAATATATAAAAAAAACAAAAAAATTAAAAATGTACCTGGGAAAAACAAGAAAGGAAATTATTAAATATATATCCAATACTAAAAATTATTTCATATTTTGTACTTGTAACCAAAATTCTGCACATTCTTCTTTATAAACATTTGATTGTTGGAAAGTGTTTAATAACACGAAATCATTTCTAATTTTAATTCTAACAAACTGAAGGGATATTTACTATATTTATTCTGAAAGTGGGTTTATTATATTCATTAAAATATTCATTCTGAAGTTAGGTTTGATATCATTTTACATATTAAAATTAACATGACAACTGTTTTTGTTACATACATGTATGGTTACGGTTGCAGTTTTACATTTAAGTGGGGAGAATTTTGCCTGGGGAAAGCGACCCTGACATTTTTACCCACTGGTCCTCTTAAAGAATTAATTATGTAAATTTATGCTTAAGTGTAGACCTCAACTCAAAGGTCTTTTTTTTCTGGTCAAAATGTCAGACATTAAACCTCAACAAGTCAAACCCTGGACAATTAGTCAAGAGTGGAGTTTCGAACCTGTGACAGGACACAACAGAATACTAATTAATTTCACCGATTACTAGTTTGATCAATAAAACTTGCACATTTAAGATGCATTATGTAAGATTTTGATAAAGAGTTGATATACATTTTAATAGTTCAAAAATAGACAACGAAAAATGAATTGAATATTTCAGTTAAATTACATGACATACTTTAATCTGAGCAAAGTTATAGAGTGTTTGGATTCTTTACATTCCGATGGCCTGAAGGGTTGATTGTGGGTTTGCTTTGTGAATAAATGCTTAATAATTTATTTAACATTTGAAGTCAGAAAAAAGACCTGCTGAGTTAGCTCTTACAGAATGCATCTTCTTAATTATTAATTAATGATTTCTTTTTAACAAAAAGATCTCTATCCTGTACTGTCAAGTTCATTTTAGGCAAGATCTTTAGGACATGCAAAAAAGCACAAAATTATGTAAAAATAAGTCTTAGTAAATATTATGAAAGGAAAGAAATCCTGTAACTATCGGCATTAAAAAATAATGTTAAATAAAAACTATTATTTTGGTTATCAATTCAATTTCAGAAAAACAATTTAAAAAAAAAAAAAAAAATTTAAAAAGTTACCTGAATAGAAACTGTACTTGTAAGGAAAAAAATATAAAATAATATAGTAGGCTTCAACAGCTTACTTTGATTGAAACAGCCTTGACTTCAAATAAATAACCAATAATAAGAAAATATTATAGTACATAAATAAAACATTAATAATAAAAATAGTAAAAATACATGTATAAAAAAAGCCAAAATTATTTAAGAATTTGACAGTTAAAAAATAAAAGTTTATATTTCAAAAAAAAAAACAAATTTCAAAAGCTTATTTTTTTAAAAAAAAATTAAGACCTATAGCTAGATGTTTAAAATTTTTTTTTTTAATTTAAAACAAATCTTTAGAAACATACAAAAATATGTTATTTATAAATTGATCTAAAAGAATGTGATACCTGTACCTTTCTTTTTAGGTTACCGGTAGTTTAGTTTCATAAATTCATTCAATAAAAATTGTATCCCTAGAGGCTAGAGTCTAGGCCTAGCATAGAACATTAGAAGAAGAATAGGTCTACACTACAGACAAGGTCCAATTGCAAATTGTAAAAAAAAAAGATCTGATTTTAAACTTCATTATTAACAAATCGGGCGATGACGACAACTCAGATTGTATTAGTAAAACTCTCAACCGGGCCAAGAGATTGCTGATCGTTGAATGTTAGTAATAATTTTCAACCGGGCTAAGAAGATATCTTCGATAATTTGTAGGATCTAGGCCTACTTTAAAGTTTAATTTTAGTAAGACTTGTGTTATTTCAAGATCTATGATGACAATCGATTCTTTCCCTTCTTGACACAGTAACCCATATTTATACCAGTACAGTACTGCAAATACATGGATGGGCACATTCTGGAGTAGGTCTACATACATGTATCTATTCTTTTTACAATAAAATTATTAAAATCCCACCAAAAAAGGAAGATCACTAGGCCTATAGATTATAATATAGCCTAACATAACTGGTTGCATTAGAGGGGTAGAGCCAGAGCAATATCGTAACCTGGCGGTTTAAGCAGATATAATTCATTTCTCAAGATTCCTTTGTCGCGATTTAAAACTGCAGTTTGTTGATGGCTTTAAAATAACAGAACTAAAGGATGAGACGACAACAACAAAACACGTGCTTTTGTTATTTTTTTAATGTCCACCACGGCATCATGATGAGCATGAATGAACGAAAATTTCAATGAACCCCTGAATTAATAGACCTTTGTCAACTCGCCGAGTAGTAACATACCGTTCAAAAGATTCTCTGGAACACAGTTTTTGAAGGTGCAATGTTCTTAAATAAGAACATACGATGTAATGCGATAAAATGCTCAAAACAAGCGTGTGCCGGTTTCTTACCTTGTTGGACAAAAGCTAAAATGGCGTAATAAAATTACAGCGCATGCGCGAATAAATAATTTGAGTTAACCCTTTAGGGCCCACCAACCAAGTATTTGAGATTCAATTTGTAGAGCAATAAATACTATAACAGGTTTAGAAAAAAGCCAGCTGTGATTGTTTATTGGTTTTAAGAGCGAATAAAGTAAACACAGTATGGCACCCACTTCTATATAAACCCAAATATAACCAACAATTCAATACAAAGATCTATTTCTGACGTTTAGTCCACCAATTGACTATATCTGTGTTCATAACTTTTGTTTGTAGCCTATTTTGTACATACTTTGATTTCTTAAACATGCAATTTGCAAGAGCTAAATCTGCCCACTGCAGGTCTTTCTTCAGACCCAAAATGTTATCTAAATTATTATATTATTAGAATTAATTAACCTATCCAGACCATAATCAACCCTCGACGCCATCGTTAGCCAGTGATATTTAGATTTTAACTCATTTTGTGATGGATAATTTAACGTCAAAATGGATAATCGAGACTTTGTTTAGTGACGTACCAACGTTAGTAAAGATGGTGACGCTAGTCAATTTGAATGAAATATTCTGCTTTCATTATCTATTTTTATACGCCCACATTGAAATGTGGTCGTATATTGTCGTCGCGCCCGTCAGTCCGCCAGCCGGTCCATCGGTCCGGCGATTTCCGGTAATTACTGCCAGAGTCATGGCCCTTGTGGTGGTCGCTCAGGCTAAAGTTAATATCCAATTGACTTTAAATTCATACACAGAGTTTAAGGCCATGGGACGAAGAAGCCGATTGATTTCAAACGATTTCCAATAATTACGACCAGGGTTATGACCATTGATCATTTTGAAATATCTTGTGGACGCTTTAGAGGCTAAAGTAATTTCCGATTGACATTAAATTTATACACAGTGTTTAAGGTCATGAGACGACGAAGCCTAATAATTTTCAACGATTTCCAGAGTGTGTAAGGTCATAAGAGTGACGAATCCTATTGATTTTTAACGCTTTCCGATAGTTACTGTCATAGTTAAGGCCCTTGATCAGTTTTAAAAGTGTTTTGAACGCTCTAGAGACTAAAGTTTATATAAATTGTTTAAGGTCATGAGACAAACAATCGAAACAAATTCTTAATGGGTTATTACTCGTTATCAGATTTTCATGTGTTGTAAATGTTCTCATTACTGACAAAAGAAAAAATATGCGACGAGACGTGTTGACTGCCCGGATGACTTAGCTGCTGTGGGCGAATGTTTCGTTGCCTGACAACGTATCTTTTTACTATTATTACGAGAACTTTCAGCGCTATGTCAAATCTTTCCTAATGTCCCTTTAATGTATATATCATCTACCTTATATGTATTTTTCATGCCTGATATAGTCATTATGTATAATTTGCATGCTGCCTACAAAAAGGTGTTTTATGTAATAAAAATCTATTTTTGAAGATCAGTGGCTCAGTGGTTTAAAGCGCTAGCCTGGCGGTTACAGGTTGGTCGAGAAACTTCCCATGGATTTTCCAGCGTGTCTGTGGCACAGGACGAGGGCCTGGCAAATAACAGCGTCTAATTTTTCGGGTGATACAAAAAGGAGGTCCCGTGTACACTTTGGCATGCACGTAAAATAGCCCTCCTAGATAGTTTGAATTCAAATTCAGTCCGGACAAATTTCCCCCATAACACAGTAGTATACACACCCATTTCAGTGATAGGCGTGCAGGACGGCGTGGGCCTGGCAAGGGACAAAGAATATTTGTTCAGATGAGACGAAAAAACAGAACTCCCGTGTAGCCTACCATTGGCGTGAACGTAAAATAACGATTGACAGTAGGAATTCGAAATAAGAGTATATGCCCTAAGCCGTAGGGTCACTGTCCCGGAAAAAAATACCCTTATAGTAAACTGTATGGCGTATGCCCGTCTGGATTATGACCATTTTTCATTACACGTCTCACTATTAGATAAGGCCAACTTCAAGTTTGGTCAAAGGTCACGAGATATACATAGGGCTAGCGTTGTGCGATAGCTCAGTGGTAGAGCGCTGGACCGGCAACTGCGAGGCGAATGGGTGCCGTCATGGGTTCGATTCCCGTATGGGTTAGGAAACGTTAGACCCACGGCCCGTGCTTTCTGTGGGGGGATCTGTAAAGAACCCTCACCTCCCGATAACCCTAGCTCCAATGCTTACTCTAACCTACAATCTCGCCAAAACCTTATTTACATCTTAGCGACCTTGACGAAAATTGACTGGCCTTAATTAAGTATAGATTAAGCCCTCAATTAACCAATCAACGAACTGTCGCAGTTACATTCACTAACCCAAAAATAGATGATACACATAACGTTGATACCCAAAGAAAATGTCGAGCATTTAAAGCTGAGTTACTACCTTAGAGTGGCGATAGACACAGTATATACTCTGATTTTAAATGTTTAACATTTTTATCCATTGGTCAATTTCAAGAAATTTCGATTCCTGAAAAATTGAAGAAACAAATAATGATCGATGCCCGAAAAACTTTCACGCAAAGCAGGATAGTCCAGACCAAAGAGTCATGGGATTTTTCGGGCACTTTGCAGCTATACCCCCCCCCCCCCCCGCCCAATATATCTTGAGGCCAAGCGTTTAGGTAAACCCAGCATTACTTTCTCCTTTCTTCATTCTCTCTTACTGCATAATAATCAAAAGATAACTCTTGCGGTGTAATTGGTTTTGAGTTATGGCTTTATTTAAGCTAATTTTACTATACATGTATATACTATTCACCATTTTCGATCTAGTTCTGATATTACGTCATAGGACATAATTATAATATCAGGATTTATATAGAACATTTGTTATCTCATGTATTATTTACATGCTGCTCGAAAAGTTTGTTTATCGATCTATATATTATAACATATTAGCCATATGTTTTATTGATTTATTACAATAATGTAGGATATAGTTCATTAGTTTATGAGACTAATATCCTTTAATCATTATTTAATTAGCAGCTGACTTTTCAGCAGCTGACGATTGTTGATTGGGTAATCAAGTTTAGTTTCTTCTTCTTATTATTATTATAAAACATTTATATAGCGCTAGTTTCACCAATGGTGTTCAGAAGCGCTTTACAAAACATTGAGTACAATCATATACCAGTAAAATAAAAAAATAAAAGACTACAAAAAGATACAATATAATAAAATAATATATATCTAAGTAAAAGCTTTTTTTAATAAATAAGTTTTAAGAGCACAATTAAAAGATTGTGCCGAGGGGTAGGAACGAATATCAGTATCTGTACCAGATGGTTTTAAATCATTCCACAGGTTTGGGGCTAAAAATGAAAAGGATCTTTCACCATATATAACCATTCTAGCAGATCTTGGCCTGAGACGATAAATGTCATTTGAACTACGGAGACTACGAGCATTTGTTTGTTTTTGCAATTAAATGACATAAATAAGATGGGGCTAAGCCATGAAAACATTTATAAACAGTTAAAAGAATCTTAAATTGAATACGATATGGAATCGGTAGCCAGTGAAGTTGTTTAAGTATGGGAGTAATATGATCTTGCCTTTTTGTGAGGGTAATAAGTCGCGCAGCTGTGTTTTGAACTTTTTGTAATTTGTATATTAATTTATTAGGTAAGCCGGAAAAATTTGAGTGAAAAGTATCAAGTCTTGAAGTAATAAAAGCATGAACAAGAGTTTTAGTTGAATCAGAGGAAAGGAATTTGCGAATT